ATAGACTAGACTATAGACTAGACTATAGACTAGACTATAGACTAGACTATAGACTAGACTATAGACTAGACTATAGACTAGACTATAGACTAGACTATAGACTAGACTATAGACTAGACTATAGACTAGACTATAGACTAGACTATAGACTAGACTATAGACTAGACTATAGACTAGACTATAGACTAGACTATAGACTAGACTATAGACTAGACTATAGACTAGACTATAGACTAGACTATAGACTAGACTATAGACTAGACTATAGACTAGACTATAGACTAGACTATAGACTAGACTATAGACTAGACTATAGACTAGACTATAGACTAGACTATAGACTAGACTATAGACTAGACTATAGACTAGACTATAGACTAGACTATAGACTAGACTCTAGACTATAGACTAGACTATAGACTAGACTATATACTAGACTATAGGCTAGACTATAGACTAGACTATAGACTAGACTAGACTATAGACTAGACTATAGACTAGACTATAGACTAGACTATAGACTAGACTATAGACTAGACTATAGACTAGACTAGACTAGACTAGACTATAGACTAGACTATAGGCTAGACTATAGGCTAGACTATAGACTAGACTATAGACTAGACTATAGACTAGACTATAGACTAGACTATAGACTAGACTATAGACTAGACTATAGACTAGACTATAGACTAGACTATAGACTAGACTATAGACTAGACTATAGACTAGACTATAGACTAGACTATAGACTAGACTATAGACTAGACTATGGACTAGACTATAGACTAGACTATGACTAGACTACATAGACTAGACTATAGGACTAGACTATAGACTAGACTATAGACTAGACTATAGACTAGACTATAGACTAGACTATAGACTAGACTATAGACTAGACTATAGACTAGACTATAGACTAGGACTATAGACTAGGACTATAGACTAGACTATAGACTAGACTATAGACTAGACTATAGACTAGACTATGACTAGACTATAGACTAGACTATAGGGACTAGATATAGACTAGACTATAGACTAGACTATAGACTAGACTATAGACTAGACTATAGACTAGACTATAGACTAGACTATAGACTAGACTATAGACTAGACTATAGACTAGACTATAGACTAGCCTATAGACTAGACTATAGACTAGACTATAGACTAGACTATAGACTAGACTATAGACTAGACTATAGACTAGACTATAGACTAGACTATAGACTAGACTATAGACTAGACTATAGACTAGATTTAGTTTAGTTTCATTAAATTAAACATTGTGTACATCTATTTAAAAAATTCTTAAAAATACATTCCTCTCCTTACAGCTCTGCTAATAATAACAATTTTTCCTTTCAGTTTTAATTCATTTTTAAAGAGTCATATGTTTTTATTTCGTTTTACTTTAGCTATTTATTTTTTATAAATTTTTTGCACATATGTCTTTTTTTTTAAATACTAAGTAGGTATGTATGTATCATTATAGAATCATAATTGGAACGCGTGCCTCTTTATTGTCTATATTCTTTTTGTCTTTGGAGTTTTGTTATTGTTATTTGGTCTACTACTTACACTTGACAATTATTGTTGCTATTGTCCCGTCCAGTCTTCTACAAATTGACTGATAAATGTCTAAAGTCTATCATTGAGTATTTTTCTTTTAGTTTTTTTTTGTTTTTGTTATTTCTGTAACTAATTATAATTGAATTACGCCAATATCAATTATTATGTTCATATAAAATGGAATTATTTTACGATAAAAAATATTTATAATGGGAAAAGAGACCGTAACAATTTTTTTGTGTTACCTTTTAGTAGGCTTAGCAACTAAATAGATTTTTAGGAATGCAGAAAAAAACAAAATGTAAATGAAATACGAGTAAGTAATTGGGGTATGTAATTTGTTGTTTTTAATATAGTAATGAGTTGAAAATGAATCAGCTTAGTTTCCCATTTACTCATATGTATATTACGATAAATGTCACTCACCCACCTTTCAAAATTTAATGAAATGATTTATTTGACCTTAATGATTTAGAAAGAAAAAACTTCCGTATTAAAAAGGTTAGTAAATGGTGGTCAATATTTAGAAAAAGTTATAGTAAAAGTTTTATTTTCGAAAGTGGTAAGTAGAGACCAAACTATTGACTAGTCTATGGACTACACTTGGTGAATAATATTTGAAAAAAAGTTTTTGTAAAAGTTTGCATTCGAAAGTATAAAGTAAAGAACAAACTATTCACTATTCTATGGGCTAGACTATTGACTAGTCTATGGGCTAGACTATTGACTAGTCTATGGAATAGTAAAAGTACTAATATTTTAAAAAATAACTCTTTATGTCAAAAAGTACTAAACTACTAGTCTATTTTTCGATGCACTACCTAAAAACTAAATAGTCTATGGAGTAGTATTACTAAGGGTATTCCCGTCAATCTAACGTTTTTGCTATTCTATAGTTTAGTCTATAGTCTAGTCTATAGTCTAGTCTATAGTCTAGTCTAGTAGTCTATTCGTCTAGTCTATAGTCTAGTCTATAGTCTAGTCTATAGTCTAGTCTATAGTCTAGTCTATAGTCTAGTCTATAGTCTAGTCTATAGGTCTAGTCTATAGTCTAGTCTATAGTCTAGTCTATAGTCTAGTCTATAGTCCTAGTCTATAGTCTAGTCTATAGTCTAGTCTATAGTCTAGTCTATAGTCTAGTCTACAGTCTAGTCTATAGTCTAGTCTATAGTCTAGTCTATAGAGTAGTCTATAGTCTAGTCTATAGTCTAGTCTATAGAGTAGTCTATAGTCTAGTCTATAGAGTAGTCTATAGTCTAGTCTATAGTCTAGTCTATAGAGTAGTCTAGTCTATAGTCTAGTCTATAGTCTAGTCTATAGTCTAGTCTATAGTCTAGTCTATAGTCTAGTCTATAGTCTAGTCTATAGTCTAGTCTATAGTCTAGTCTATAGTCTAGTCTATAGTCTAGTCTATAGTCTAGTCTATAGTCTAGTCTATAGTCTAGTCTATAGTCTAGTCTATAGTCTAGTCTATAGTCTAGTCTATAGTCTAGTCTATAGTCTAGTCTATAGTCTAGTCTATAGTCTAGTCTATAGTCTAGTCTATAGTCTAGTCTATAGTCTAGTCTATAGTCTAGTCTATAGTCTAGTCTATAGTCTAGTCTAGTCTAGTCTATAGTCTAGTCTATAGTCTAGTCTATAGTCTAGTCTATAGTCTAGTCTATAGTCTAGTCTATAGTCTAGTCTATAGTCTAGTCTATAGTCTAGTCTATAGTCTAGTCTATAGTCTAGTCTATAGTCTAGTCTATAGTCTAGTCTATAGTCTAGTCTATAGTCTAGTCTATAGTCTAGTCTATAGTCTAGTCTATAGTCTAGTCTATAGTCTAGTCTATAGTCTAGTCTATAGTCTAGTCTATAGTCTAGTCTATAGTCTAGTCTATAGTCTAGTCTATAGTCTAGTCTATAGTCTAGTCTATAGTCTAGTCTATAGTCTAGTCTATAGTCTAGTCTATAGTCTAGTCTATAGTCTAGTCTATAGTCTAGTCTATAGTCTAGTCTATAGTCTAGTCTATAGTCTAGTCTATAGTCTAGTCTATAGTCTAGTCTATAGTCTAGTCTATAGTCTAGTCTATAGTCTAGTCTATAGTCTAGTCTATCTAGTCTATAGTCTAGTCTATAGTCTAGTCTATAGTCTAGTCTATAGTCTCGTCTATAGTCTAGTCTATAGTCTAGTCTATAGTCTAGTCTATAGTCTAGTCTATAGTCTAGTCTATAGTCTAGTCTATAGTCTAGTCTATAGTCTAGTCTATAGTCTAGTCTATAGTCTAGTCTATAGTCTAGTCTATAGTCTAGTCTATAGTCTAGTCTATAGTCTAGTCTATAGTCTAGTCTATAGTCTAGTCTATAGTCTAGTCTATAGTCTAGTCTATAGTCTAGTCTATAGTCTAGTCTATAGTCTAGTCTATAGTCTAGTCTATAGTCTAGTCTATAGTCTAGTCTATAGTCTAGTCTATAGTCTAGTCTATAGTCTAGTCTATAGTCTAGTCTATAGTCTAGTCTATAGTCTAGTCTACTTTGGTCTTGTCTAGAGTCCAGTCTATCGTATTAGCATTACTGCTAGTCTTTAACCTAGGACTACGATTTGCTATTCTCTGGAGTCTATTGATTAACTAATGCACTAATAGATTGAATATTCTACGGACTAGAGTATTGAGGAGCCTGGGGACTAATCTATTTTCAAATCTAAAAACTAGTTAATGATCTTTAGTCTATGGACTAAATTGACTAGAATATAGACAGAAAGGTCCATAGAGTAAACTATTGACTATGTTCATAGAGTAATCTATTGACTAATGTATGGATACCTTAAAAAAATCAAAACTTTTTTACTTTAGAGAGTTCGTGTGTCTTTTATATTAAAAACCGATTTTCGTGCCACATTTTTAGGTACATGTGGTGTTCATTGTCTTATATCTTAGTTATATCCCGAGGATGTATATCTTTTGCATATCGTCTCGTTTACATTTATTGAAAGTATTTATTGTATTGAATAATTCACTGCAAAATTAACCACTTGTGTCCCTCATTTACCGCTAAAAATAATCAATGTCATGGGAAATATTAAGTTATAAACGAACATTAATCATTTGTTACGTGGAATAAAAATATCGGAAAAATTATAATTGTTTAGTCAATTAAATCGAAAAGAATGTTCTGCCTACTATAACAACATATATTATATAATTTTCTATGAATAGTTACTACTTATTAAAATGTGTATTTTCAAGGTTAAAGGATTTAAATTGTTTTACAAATTTTGCTTATATTTAGACTATAAAATCAACATTCAATTATATTAAGTTCCAATCTACACGTTTTAAGTTTGATTGATGATTGAAATACGTTAGGAAATGAAATAGCAAAATTTTTACGCTGCGAAGTAATTTAATATAAAAAAGAAGTTGAATAAACTTGATAAGGCCACCATTTATTGAGTCATCGACATTTTTCAAAATTTAAATGCTTTTAAATAAATTCAAATTAAGTTTTAAAAATTTTCAAAATAGTATTCCTTAAATCAATAACAAAATCACGTAAGATAAGTAATATGCCTGCATAAATCTCGAAATCGTGTTTTATGATCATCCTCCTCACTATCACTTTCATCATAATCGGTTATGTCATCGAAATCGTTACATTCTTTTAACAATATGGATAGATTCTCTTCGGCCTCACTGTCGTTGTCTTCGTTTTCGTCTTCATCGTCATCATAATCATCTGATTGAAATATCTTAAAAACCTTATTGGGAACTTGCTTTGCCTTCAAAGGTTTCTCTTCAATTTTATGCCAGTAAAGACTTAAAGGAGGTTTAGTTTTTGATTTAGAATTAACGGGATATATTTCTGATAAAATGGGTTCGGTATAAGAATCTAAAGTTAAAATAATATTATTAATATTTAAGAATTGGGAGTTTTATACGTTTTTACCTTTTCTTTGTGGATTTTGAATATATTTTACATAACGACTGTCAGTTGCCTTCATATCAATAGAATGAATTTTGGAATTACCTTTAAAAGTATAGAAGAATTGATTAAATTATTTGATTCTTTATAATAAAAACTTATTTTTGATATAAATATGTGAGTGATTATGGATATATTGAAGATTTCCCATACATATATTAAGCATTAAATGGTTCTGACCTTGTCGTTCTGATCGAAGGGAGCGGAGGGGATGCAATTTTTTGATTTTGATACAGATTAAAAGTCCATAAGCAATGAATTTTATATAATATATATAATATAACATATATAATGTTCCCAATGTGCGATTTCTCTAACTTACCCATATTCATATTTTCCTTTTCATTAATTTCCAAATTTTTATCACTCGGTGTCTGCTGCTCTACTTGTACTTTCTTAAAACTGCCATTACTGGAGATGGAAATGGTTATTGTGGAATTAGAAAAGGAACCATTGTTCGTGTGTTTAAGAGTATTTGGAACTACATGTGGTATAGTAATATTCGCATTATTAGTGCTAAAAGTTTTCTTATTTGTAATAGTTTTTTTAATAATCATTACATCCCCCGATTTATTATGTTGTTGTTGGGTACTTCCCTGACTTGTTTTATTAGCCGTGGAGGTCACTATAGTATGCATTTGATTGGTTATGCGTGCTAAATCTTTGGAACTTGTTATATTCAATTGTAGGGGAGGTGAACTGGTCACTGCGGTAATGTCCTCATCCTGGTTGAGATTTAATTTCTGGGAGAAATCTTCTATTGCTTTTAGCAGTGGAGAGGAGTTCTTTTCCGATTTCAGGGTGGTCTTTATTGGGGGTGTACTGGGAGTGTTATTGACGATGTTTTCGTTGGATTCTTTCTTAGAATTTTCTGTTTTTAAAATGGCTTCTGTTTGTTTGGTTTGGGCATTATTTAAATTACTCGGTTTATGGAGTTGCAAATTTGGGGCTTCTTTAAGTGTTTTAACGTTATTTTGGTTCTCAATTTTATTTAAATCTTCCACAATTTTTGTAACAATTTCAGGTTCTTTAGTTGATGTTTGAGTCGATTCCTGTATTTTCATTGTTGTGCTAAAAACATCGGGATCTTTAGTGGTCAAAAGAGAGGGCTGTTGAGCTTGAACTGTTGTTGACAGTAATTCTGGTTCTGTGTGTGTAACTACAGATGATTCTTGAACTTTAATTGTTGTTGCAGTAAGTTCAGGCTCTTTAGCCCCCACTAATGGTGAATCGTGTACTTTAGTTGTTGTTAATGTCGATCTTGTTGATTTTAAAGTTGTAGGACTGGTTGTACTTATGGGCGCCATGGTGCTGGTGGAAAAAGCTTTAGTTGTTTTCGTTTTGTCATCAGTAGATTCTGTTATTTTTAAGGCTGATTTCAAAGCATTTAATTTTTGTAGAATCTGCTTTAGATCCTCTTTACTCTCATTGTGAGCCATAATATCCAATTGTAAAAATAATAAATTTAAATTTTGATTTGAGTAAGGATCTTTCATTCCTATATGGGCGAGTTTATCTGTGGCAAGTTTTGTGTTGAAAAAGTTATGAATCTGCTTCGAAGCACTTATTTTATCATTTGATTTTCCTAGGAGAGGATCTCGTTCTGTTGATGTTAGAGTTAAAATCGGTTGGGTTTGTGCTATTGATGTAGTCTTTTTCAAACAACCACAGCTTTTAGGTTTTATAGTTTTTGCTGACTGATCCTGAATACTGCCCACAATAGGTCCCGCTTCTGTTGTTGTTGTTGTGGTAGACGATTTTTCAGTTCCCTGTTTATTTTCACTATTTATTGGGGTTTCTTGCTTTAAATTGTCGTGGGTAGTTGGTGGGTTTTCTGTGGTTCTTTTGGTACAATCACAGCTTTTATTTTCTGTTCCAGGTTTTGTATTTATCGTTTCATCTTTGGGGTTTTGTGTAGGAGTTATAATAATTCCTTTTCTATTGGCAAGTGAAGGTCCATATAATAATTGGTTGAAAAGAGTGCGATTAAATGGAAAGTAAGTGAAATTCTTACTAACGGGGCTATATGCAGGTGGCATATTCCTTGGACGGTTACTTCCATATGAAGGTAATCTAACATTTGGATTATAAGGAAAATATCGACGATTTGCTTGGGCAACCTGCGTTTTTGGTTCCTGAGGTCTGCCCAACAATGTGGGACTCTTTGAATTATACTTTAGCTTGGAGTGAGCTTGTGGTTGTTGTATAGAACACAAATTAACTTTTGTACACTTTACCTTGGGTTTGTTACGATTATTTGTAGCCCCCACTATGGGCTGTGATGATTGGCTATAACCCTCAGGATATACAAAAGTCTCATATTGTTTGTAATTAGCCAAAGCTCTTAATGGAGCCAAATGTTCATTGGCACAATTGGCATATTTTTCAATGGCTTGATGTAAAAGTTCAAAAAATTGTGCTTGACGTTTAGCTCTTGTCTCGTCATCCAGTACAGTATCATCAAATTCGCCGCTGCAAATGTTAGTTATTGAGAATTATATATAAAATTTCTGGAAATTTTTTTTATCAAATTACCTTTCAACCAGGGTGGGCTTTAACAATACTCTTGGTATACTTAACAATGTTAAGAGAAAAACAATGATAAACATTTCTTGTATTAAAAATGTAATTCGTCACAACTTCACTTTCACTTCTTTAATTACCAGTTAAAATCATTATATTAATTAATTTATATTAAAGGTTTCTGTTTAAATACTTGTGACACTAAACCATTTCTAAGACATTCTACTCTTACTGGTTCTATTCATGTTTTAAGTTTTGTATAAAATGTTTTCTCAATGTCTCCGATGTCATTTTCATATAAATACCATTTTTATAACAAAATTATAAAAACTACGGTCATCTAATTACAAAAGTGTTTATTTTCATTAATTTTTTGTATTTTTCTTTAATTTTAAGTCTAATTGTTTAAAGTTTCTTTGGTTTAATGCACTTTTCTGTGTTTTTTAGTGTAATTTTCCTCAATGGGTTCATGTTTATGTTTTGAAAACGTGATTTTTTTTGTTTGAAATTAATCATGTTCATTTATTAAGTAAAAATGTAGGTTTTCTTTATGTTTTGTTTCTTATTCAATTGTTGAGTTGTTTTTTTTTCGATATGATTTTACAATTCTTTTGGTTTTGTTTTGATAACAAATTTCATTGTGATGTCAAAAGTTATATATGAGAACAAAAGTAAACTTTCCAATATGGGAAAATAATTATTATATTTTTAGAAAACACTCGGTCAAAAGTAACCCAGCAAAAGAATGGTCATTGCTTGTACTTACTCAACAACTTACTTATCAATGACTACTTCATACCTTCTGCATTACTTTAATGGAGTCTAATAATGTCTTGCAAATAACGATATATGTAAGTAGTTACTTTTTAGCCTTGACATTTTGTTTTCGAGTTTCAAGTGGGCGGCAACTGACTTAAATCCTTATTAGCGAGCGATCGTGTTAAGTAATTATTTAACTACATACTTGTAAGAGAGCGTGTTTTTAAAAAGGCATGGTTTATTGCCTGCATAGATAGATAGATAGATAGATAGATAGATAGATAGATAGATAGATAGATAGATAGATAGATGATAGATAGAGATAGATAGATCGATAGACGCTAGATAGATAGATAGATCGAGATCGACTAGATCGATAGATCTCTCGCTCGCTAGCTCGCTCGCTCGCTCGCTATCTCGGCTCGCTCGCTCGCTCGATCGCTCGCTCGCTCGCTCGCTAGCTCGCTCGCTCTCTCTCGCTCGCTCGCTCGCTCGCTCGCTCGCTCGCTCGCTCGCTCCTCGCTCGCTCCTCCTCGCTCGCTCGCTCGCTGCTCGCTCGCTAGCTCGCTCGCTCGCTCGCTCGCTCGCTCGCTCGCTCGCTCGCTCTCTCGTCGCTCGCTCGCTCGCTCGCTCTCTCGCTCGCTCGCTCGCTCGCTCCTCGCTCGCTCTCGCTCGCTCGCTCGCTCGCTCGCTCTCGCTCGCTCTCTCGCTCTCTCGCTCGCTCGCTGCTCGCTCGCTCGCTCGCTCGCTCGCTCGCTCGCTCGCTCGCTCGCTCGCTCGCTCGCTCGCTCGCTCGCTCGCTCGCTCGCTCGCTCGCTCTCGCTCGCTCTCTCGCTCGCTCTCTCGCTCGCTCGCTCGCTCGCCTCGCTCGCTCGCTCGCTCGCTGCTCGCTCGCTCGCTCGCTCCTCGCTCGCTCGCTCGCTCGCTCTCGCTCGCTCCTCGCTCGCTCGCTCGCTCTCTCGCTCGCTCGCTCGGTCGCTCGGTCTCGCTCGCTCGCTCGCTCGCTCGCTCGCTCGCTCGCTCGCTCTCTCGCTCGCTCGCTCGCTCGCTCGCTCGCTCGCTCGCTGCTGCTCGCTCGCTCGCCCCTTCCCCTCTTTCCTTCTTTTCGCCCCCGTTTTCCTTCCCTCCCGCCCCTCTTCCTCCCCCTTTCTTTTTCTGTTTTTCCCTTTCCCCCTTCCTCCCCCTTCCTTTCTCGGCCCCCCTCCCCCTCCCGTCCCCTCCTGTACCTTATTGTTATTGCTGCATTATGAAAACATTGCACTACTTGACGACATCATCATAGTCTATTTTAGGAAACCATCTTGTCTGCTCAAGAAAGACACTACTACTACACTTTTCTTTTCCTTCTTAGTTTCATCTGTTTTTTACACAATATTTTGTTTTCGAGTGTTTTAAAGACTTGTATCCTAATGTGACATTAAATACCCTTGTAGTTGTGGTTTTAGAAAGGTCCTATAAAATGTTATAAGTTGCCATTGAATGCTGCTTTTTAATGTCAACAACAACTACGACGATGACGACGACGACAATGACAGTAAGCAAACTATAGAAAATTGCATAAACAGCATAAACATTTTAAGCAGCCTAACAATGATAACAATTGTTCAGCAGCAACAACAAATACATGAATTTTTTATAAAATAATTGTCCTAATGATGTTGCTGATATCATCATGAATTTATAAAATATTTGTACACGTGTTGAAATTTATGCAAGAATAATATAATGCCAGAGAAAGTTACAGACTGAGTGTTTCAGATGAATATTAAATAATTATTGATTTGTAATTGTTATATGTGTATATTACATTTATTAAACACTTTTAAATATGTATATAATTTTATCTCAATTTTAATAATTTAGAGAATAATCCAAATTTGTATCGGGGAGTTATATTTGTGCCAGATTATGTCAATGTTAACAAAAGTGATGTAATTAATTATAGAATTTAATTGTTTTAACTCTATTTCCACTAAATTTTTCTACATGTTTATAAATTAAGTTTAAATTTTCATATACATATGGATGTATAAGAATGTTTAAAAAAATTTCCCATTTAACAAGTTTCTATCTGACCTCGTTAGCTTATTAAAAGAGGAGTTTGTTTTATATCTGAATCAGTTATTTTTATGAAACGTATTTACTTTGAACTCTTTTGTTCAGAGATAAGATTATGTAATAATGCCGTGAAAAGTAAGTCAAGTCAATAATACTTAATACAAAGATATTAAATCAATATTTTAGAGCTTGAACTAATTATTAGCAAAGATAAAGAAGATGAACCTGTGAAAAAAAACTGCATTTTTTCATAATATTTTCAATCAATGATAAAATTGTAAAGAAATCAAAATTTCAAGAATTAATTTCGCAACGCTTGCAATGACAGAAGCATTATGAGAATAACTGAAATCGTTTTGTCGCTTCTACAAGAGTTTTTGAAAGAACTTCTTTTAAACCCTATATCTCCGAAACTGGCAAAGGAAATCGATTGCTTTCCCATTACATGACTTGGTAACTATTTTAAAACATGAATCATTTATTAAAAAAGCTCCCAATTCGACATCGGTAAGAGTCCAATAAAAATTTTCTACCAGATTACAGACGACAACTTTTTCTAGCGGAATATGATGTTTTATTAAAACTTGTTTATAAATAAGCGACATATGGCGACTTTTTATTTAGAATTTCAATGATATAAAAATTTTAAATTTTAGGTGAACAGTAGCTCCATTTAAAGCTAACTTATCCTTATAGATAGTGGAGCCGATTAAATTGTCCGTCTGTCTGTTTGTTAAAATCAATTTTCTGAAGATATCAGACATGCTTTCGGGTAGATCGCTATTTAAAATCAGCAAAATCGGTTCATAAATAACAGAGATATGAGCAAAAATCCGAGACAACCTCTGAAAATTTCTTCAAAAATTTAGATTATTCGTGCATGCGGGGACAGAATTAGGTTAGAACCTCTAAAAGAGGACTTTTTGAATTTTCTATAATATTGAACCTAGAAACATCAAATTAAGTATGTTTAGCCCGGATTAAGTGAGTACCTATAAAAGGCGAATTTTTGGTACTTTTTCGTTTTTTTGAATTTTCTTTAATATTGAACCCGGAGACATGAAATTAAGCATGTAGATACGGATTATGTGAGAACCTCTAAAAGAGGACTTTTTGGTACTTTTTCGTTCTACAAAAGGTACTTTTTGAATTTTCTATAATATTGAACCTAGAAACATGAAATTTGGCATGTTGGGACCGGATTAAGTGAGAACACATAATACATTTGTTCTACAAAAGATACTTTTTGAATTTTCATTAATATGGAACCTAGAAAAAATCAAGCATGTAGAGTCTTGATTAAGTGAGAACCTATAAAAAGGGACTTTATGGTACTTTTAAGTTAATACTTTTATGTTCTATGACAGTCTTTGTTTTTTATGTACATACGCAACACCCTGTTTGAACGAAAATCTATAAAAGGGGACTTTTTGGTACTTTTTTTATTTACAACTGGTATTTTTTGATTTTTTTAAATAAATTTTTGTACTGACTATTTTTTTTTAACACATCATGGTGAAGGGTATATAAGATTCGGTACAGCCGAATATAGAACTCTTACTTTTTTCTATTTGATAGCTTTATAATTGGTCTATCTGACAGACTTAGTTTTTCAGCCCACTGACACGCCCACTAAGATGAAAAAACTCTTATAAATAGAAGAATAAGGACTTTGAAAATACTTTTCTTTTACACTATTCTTAAACTAACAATTCCTGTGTTGCCAAGAGAGATTTCAATCAAATCGCTTTTGGAACTTTTGGAAGAACTTTCTCATTAAGTTATAGACATTTTATGGCTATTTAAAGTATGCTTTAATTAATGCTGAAACGTATTTTTGTTTCGGCCCCCTGCCACGCCCACCTTTATTCATTTGTAAGAGGAAGACTCAAGAATGGTTTGTCTCCAACCCATTTTCCAATTAAAAATTAATAACATGATTTGTTTTTTTTTTCGTTTGATGTTTATATTTTGGTTTTAAATTAATCGTATCAGTTGCTGGATTTTTTTCTATTTTATTTGAAATTTTTTTTTATTTATTTATTTTTTGGTTTTGTTGTTGTTGGTTGTTCTTATTGTATATTTTATAAATTAAAAATATTTAAAGTTACGATATTATTATTAATAAAATTATAATTATTATAATTATTATTTAAATATTTTTTGTGACTGATTTTTAAATAAGTTTGTTTTTTTTTTCGTTTATTTTTTCGATTTTTTTTTCTCATTTTCTTTTCAGTGTTTTTTTTCTGTTTCCTTTATTTTATCATACAATTAAATAAAAAATATTTCGATTTTTAATACAGTTATGCCATCTTGGTGGTGATGTCGCCGGACAATATATATATTTATATATTTTGTATATTTATAAAAAAAATTGAGTAAAATTAAAAATTAATAAAAAAAATTATAATAATAATAAAGAACTTTGGGAGTCTGTCCTTATCATGTCTCTACGCTACTACTTATTACTTCAACATACACACACATACATTTATTATAAATAGGAATGAAATAAAATACAATACAAAAATAAAATAAAGAAGTAGATGAGTTAAGTTAAAATTAAATTAAATATTTAAAATAGAAAAACTAACACAAAAAGAAATCTATTTACAAAAATATCTATCTTCGTAGCGTTGACAATAATCGCAGATCAATTGGCAACAGCGTCCATTGTTAAAGCGACAGCGACATTTTTCCACTTGCTTGAAAACGCGTGTCGTATAGCCACGCCCACAGCAGAGATTCGCACAGTTGTCTGGATTCAGACATTGACGATCCTTAGTAACGGAACAATAAGTGGGTGAGGTTTCCAAATAGTATAACGTTGTATACTGTGATTGTTGTTGCTGTAATTAGAATAATTAAATGAAAATTAAACATGATCTTTTTATGATATTTGGATTGTAGTTAGAACATACTTTCTTCCGTCGTTGTTTGGGTTTTTTCACTCGACTTGAGGGAGCCTCTCTGCGCATTGTGCGTGCATTTGGTGCCTTTCGTATGGCCTGATTGTATTTCTGTCTTAGTAGCGTGGCTGTGGCATTAAAATCTGATAATTTCTTCCAACAGGTTTTCATCGAACAAGAACCAGAAACACCATGACATTTACATTTATCCTTCATTAAAGTGGATACAGCTTCGATGCCGACCTAAAGAAAATTTTCGAAAAAATTTAGTTAAAACCCGATATTTGAAAAGTTTATGATTGTGTTACCTCTGAATCATGTCGCAATATTTCGGTGACTTCATCACTATCTCCACCACGCAGATCGAGAAAACTTCTTGTCACTCGTTTGCCATGTTTTAAATTATCATTACAGCCACCCCATTGAAATGTTTGATCAGCACGATTTTGTTTTCTCGGACCACAACTACATTTCGTCATTCTACCCTCAGCACAGGCCCTGGCGATGGAATGTGTCATTGCTGCAGCGGTCAGAGCATGTACAAAGGCTGTTTCTTTATAAAGTTTTTTGAAAATATTTCTTTTTCCTCGAATTTCTATAGAACAATTCCAGCGATCATAACGAAACTGATCCTCACAATGTGTCGTTGCTAAACGTCTAGCCTCACGTATGGTGTCCGGTAAACCGAATTCTTTGCGGCATTGATGATTTTGTCGTCGTGTTGCGGGCATATAACGACAGGGTCCACCCACCTGACCCTGTGAGGTGAATACGGCCATAACGGTATGTTCGGAAATGAAATTTTCCTGTTCGCTGTAATGAAAGGAAGTAAAAAATTGTAATGTTAATGTAATGATTCATTAAATCGATTTTTATTGAAAAATTTTGTAAAAATTAATAAAAAAACAAGTAAGAGTTTTATATTCAGCTATGCCGAATCTTATATACCCTTCACCACGGTGTGTTAAACAAAAACAGTCAGTATCAAAAAGTCCTCTTTTACATAACTTACTGCGGGCTCAACATGCGTTATTTCATGTTTATAGATTCAATATTATGGAAAAATCAAAAGAGTACCTTTTGAAAAACGAAAAAGTACCCAAAAGTTCCCTTTATGGGTTCTCACCTATTTCAGACTCTACATACTTAATTTCATATTTCTAGCTTCAATATTATAGATAATTCAAAAAGTATTTTTTGCAGAACGAAAAAGTACCAAAAAGTCCCTTTTTATGTGTTCTTGCCTAATCCGGGCTCTACATACTTAATTTCATGGTTCTGGGTTCCTTATTATAGAAAACTTAAAAAATACCTTTTGAAAAACGAAAAAGTACCAAAAAACTCCCTTTTATGTGTTCTCACCTAATTCCGAATCTACGTACTTAATTTCATGTTCCTAGGTTTAATATTATATAATATTCAAAAAGTACCTTTTGAAAAATGAAAAAGTACCAAAAAGTTCCCTTTTATAGGTTCTCACCTAATTAAGACTCTACATACTTATTTTTATATTTCTAGGTTCAATATTATAGAAAATTCAAAAAGTACCTTTTAAAAAACAAAAAAAGTTACCAAAAAGTTCACTTTTTTCCGGTTCTCACCTAATTCCGACTCACATACTTAATTTCATGTTTCTAGGTTCAATAATATAAAAAATTCAAAAAGTACCTTTTGTAGAACGAAAAAGTACCAAAAAGTTTTTAAAAATTATCCAACATCAGGAAGATTTTCGGAATAGGTCTTTTAATTAATTTCCTAGAACAAACCTTTTTTGTTAAATGTTATCTTTGCCATGTCCATCTGTGCGACTGTTGAAATTTTCTGAAGACCCCAGATATCTTCGGGATTCAAATAATTCTGTCAAACATGCTTTCGAGAAGTTTCCTATTTAAAATCAAAAAAATCCCTCCATAAATAACGGAGATATGAGCAAAAATCACAGACAACCTCTGAAAATTTCATCATGTTTACGATTTCTGCTTAATTAATATATGCATGGCTGTTTTAACTGTATTGCGGGCGGCCCATTTGGAAGCAAATTCCGAAATTTCTCTTTTTAAAAATAAAACAGTGCCTTTTCATGAACAAATTTTGGAGAAAATTATAGGGAATTCAATTTAAAAATGGGGATTTTTTGGAGACAACAAGTTTAAGATTGTGGACATGAGTCAAAATTTTTCTGGCAACACTGATTTTATGTTTAATTCTTTTAAGGTTTGTGTCTTTACTACATTTGTTTGCCCCGTTTGTTTAGCAGAGTTTTGTTTGTAACAAAACTCACCAGTTTGGAGGTGAAAATTTTAATTTTCAACATACGGTGCCGCCACTGTTACGTGTCATTTAGTCTAGACAAAAACCAATTTCCAATTTTTAAAATTGAAAATTTATTATTTTTATATGAACTGAGCAAAGCAACTGAGAGGCGGGGTATAAACATTTATATTTAAATCAAAATCTAATCAAATTTCATGAAATTGGTTCTAAATGATCGATTTTTATAAAACAACAAACAACACCACAACCCCCACTGTTTAATTTTATTATTAATAACTTAATTAATTGTTTATTAACAAGCATGCACTTAGAAAGATTTTTTGTTGTAATTGTTTCAATAAAAATGTTTATAAACAAAAAAACTAAACGAAATCATTTTATTGAAAACATTTAACAGCGTGAAACAAAACGCATAAAAATTTAAAAATACAAGCTATAATCGATCAAAAATTAGATAAACAAAATAAAAATTTTGGTTGGAAAATATTATACATTTTAAGAGATAATTGAGAAAAAAATAGTAAAATATCATAAAAAAGAAATATTTCTAAAATTTTTAAATTTTTGGTTTAAAATATGCTCCAACCTCAAACTTGAAGATCAAACATGTTTTAAGTTTCCAGAACGAATGAAAATTAAAATTTATTAAACAATTATTACTAGTATGATTAAAAAACGATATTTTAAATCGAACACTGAAACTCGGTCCTTGGACATGATCCTGCCGTATTGGTGGTACTTTTTCAACCACTGGATGAGCTGATTAGACGGTTCTGCCCGTCGATGTTCAAGCACTTTGCTCAAGTACTTGAGCTATCCCGAGATGTAAAAACATCACTTCCGTTTACAACCACGCAGATGTTGAGTCTGCAACACCACCTAGAGACGTATTTGGTGGATCGAAACACTAGTCAATCAAATAAGCCGAGGACCTGTTCATACTTACAGAGAACACACATTGTAGTAAATCTGGTATGAACAGAGTAAACCCTGAACATACCTGGTTAAGGAAGAAAAATTCAATGGTATCATTTATATAAGATACCTTTCATCCGTAACAACTTCTCATTCATTCAACACACTCATAGAGAACATCATCCAGCACACTCACTCTTCGTATAAGGGTGGGTAAGTACCGTATACCCATCTATCCCATATCATATGCACTTAACACCAACTCATTTCCAACAATTAATCCCATAGTCACTCAACTTTGGGTTATCGGCTGTCTTGGGAACAGAACCGAACTTATGCCGAATCATAGACTTTACCTTTCAAGCGACATTCTCGCGAATTTGGGTTTAAACCATAGCCACGATGTGCACTACGAAGGTAGGTACATCTCCAATAACCGGGACAAGACAAAGTCCGAAACTGTGCCCTGCGGGCTATCGGTTACCGTGGTACAAGATTATGTGGTTCAAATAATTCCAAGGAAAGACCAAGGATACATTTGATCATTATCAGTTTATAGTCCCGGCAGGCAGGTACTGGGGCTACCAGTGTGTATTGCAATAACACCAAGAAGGTCCAATGCCCCGGGGGATCGGTTCTTGGTCAGATCGATAGCATAATCTATGTAAGAAAACTGAAATTAAAATAATTCGTAGAGAATAGAACCAACAAAGCAAATCAATGCTGGGCGCTATGTACGAGATCTATATGCTCGATATGGGATCTCAGTCCAACTACATACTTATGACACACTGACTTTAGGAAAACGTAATAAAATCAATTCTAGCTTAAGCTTCTGCAATCACATGAAGGATGGAGCCATGAGCATTATGATGACCATAGCATGTTTAAGTGGAACATTAGAGAAAAACCCCGAAGGGATCTGTTGTTACACGGATGTCTCTGAATTCTTAAACGATTGAGGCGATATCATATGATAGAGTAAAAAATTACGGAATTTTTAAGACCAATTTCGAAAAAAATTTAGAAAATCATTTCTGAACATAATGAACTGAGATCAGGATTTTCAATCGCTGGTAGGGAAAATGTCGAATGTTTAGGGGTCACGTAACTTTCGCCAAATATTTGATAGGTGTTAACGTACCTTAAAAAAGACTTCTGAATTCAACTCATAGTGATATTTCCTAAATAACATCATGTAAAAACTTGATAAAACATGAATTTTATGTTTTTTTTTAATCAAAATTTTGTTAAAATGTTGACAATATTAAAAAAATCTTAAAAAATAAACATTGCGAAAACTGTTATAATTTTCTCAAACTTTTGAAATACCCACCTTCCAACAGAAAAACCACTAATTAATGGTTTATTTATAGTCATTTAAAATGCTTTACAAGATCATAAAGAATTATTATAATAAACAACAACTCGTGAATGTTATTTATTTAAATAAAACCAATAAATTGTTAATAAATTATTATAAATACCAAAAACGCAGGCCAAACAGATAACATGAAATATACTTTTTCAACAGATCATCCCTAGATACAAACATCAATGGAAGAAGAAAAAGTATTAAATAAATTTAATTTATGTCTGTTTCTTCAGCGGTCAAATGTGGAGGGGAAATGTTAAGAAATCTTTTACACATTTAACAAACGTAGAAGAACAAGAAATATTCAAATAAATTTCGAAAAAAAAGTTTTCCGATGTTTTTCAATTTAATCACAAAATAAATAGAAATGACTGAGAAAAAAAAAAGAAAAGAAAACTTTTGTTATGTTTATTTGTTCTTGTCCAATATAATGTGGTTTAAAAATTATGATGGGTTTGTGTTTTTCTTAGTAAAAACTAAAGAAATTAATTGTTTTTCGGTTATAATTTGTTTTAAGTATCCAAACAATTCTTTTGCAATTGTAGAGAAATTTAGCAAAAGAAAATGAATTATGTTTGAAAAACATTTTGAGATTGATGGTTGAAAAACTGGGTGTTTGGCAAGACAAAGTTTTGTTTGTGCTCTAACTCTATTGGGTTCTTAGTGGAGAACCATTTAAAATCTTCAAACTAACTAGATAATGGTTATATAAATAAGCATTTAGTTTTAGTTTATTTATTGTCCAAACTTTTCATTTAGATTATTTTCCCACTAATGAGCAGATCTTTTTATATTCCTTAATTTTTATATATGTTTCTCTTTCTCCTGTTTTATTTAATTGATTATTATTTTTTCTTTCTAAACATTTAACAAATTTTTTGTTTATTATTTTAAATTTTTACTTAATTTTGCAAAAAAACAACCTAATCAAATAAAGAAAAATAAATATTTATTTTAAAATGTTTAGATGAGTCTTAAGAAAAAAAACCATCAAGTAAGTATTTAGCTAAGAACAAATTTAGAAAATAAAAAAATATAAATGTTGAATTTTATTAACCGTATACACATTGCATCTAATCAATATTATAGAACTCTGACACATTACACTGATCAAATTTCCCTTAAAGTAGCAAATCTTCATGTAAACCCCTACAAGTACCCATAAATAAAAATTGAACAACAAAACGACAAAATAACAAATGACAGAATATATTTAAGCGCAAATGTAATAGAATTTTAATACCAATTG